TTGTAGAGGGGCATAGGTTTTGTAGTAGGGGGGCAGGGATTTTGTAAAGGGATGACATGAGTTTTGTAGACGGGTTAATAGGGTTTTTGTAGAGGGTGGTGGGCAGGAGTTTTGTAGAGAGGAGTGAACAATTATTTTGTAGTTAGGGATGAACAGGGGTTTTGTAGAGGGTGGCAGGGGTTTTGTTGAGGGGTAATAGGGATTTTATAGAGGGTTACTGGGGTTTGTAGAGAGGTGACACGAGTTTTGTAGAGGGGATGGACATGGTTTTGTAGGGGGGCATAGGTTTTGTAAAGGGGGCAGGGATTTTGTAAAAAGGGGTGACGGGGTTCTATAGAGGGGGTAATATGAGTTTAGTAAAGAGGAAACAGGGATTTTGTGGAGGGGGGAGCAGGGGTTTTGTAGAGGGAGGCAGAAGTTTTGTAGAGTGGGCAGAGGTTTTGGAGAGGGTGACAGGGGTTTTGTAGGGGTGTAACAGGGGTTTTGTAGAGGGTGACAGAGGTTTTGTAAAGGGAGTGCTGGGGTTTTGTAGGGGGGGGGCAGGGCCTGTGTGAACAAGCAGCTGAATTTAAAGTATATATTGGAAGGCTTGGCCTGAAATTCTGGGAGGGGCTATGTGCCTTTAAAAGGGGCTGCCCCCCACATTACCGTGATTGGTTCCAGACATACTGCTGGCATACTGCTGAGGCTCGTATCAAACACTTCCAGATAACCGAGAGCAGGATCACAGAATTGAAGGCTCCTCTGGATCACCACCGGTCGGAACTCGGGCTGTATGGCTTTCCCGCACAAACAGTAGTACACCGTCTATATCGATGCTTGGGAACCCGCCTACCCACCGCGGGCACCGGCACCGGGGCCAATATATTTATTCCCCAAGCACTCTGAACACCTGCCCCCCCATGGACTCACCAGGGCCACGGAGGGCAGTGACATCCCCGGAGGATAAAGCTGCATACCGGCTTAGCTAGCACCTCCCCAGTGGCATGACGTGGCCGGTATGGTCACAACATTTTACAGGGGTTGGTTTCTGGCCAGCGGCCACTCATTGCCATAGCAGCCGCCATCCACAGACGGCAGCGGTCTAACTCATGCCATAAGTACGGACTCACGGTCTCACACACAAGGGTCATAAACGAGCACGGTGCCACGCTCATCAATCTGAGCCACCACGAGGCCATGTTACAATGATGCATATTAATCTTGAGAGAGGCACAACAGTCCAACACAGGGATATATACAGTTATGTTAGAGATGGTTAATTATGTTATGTAGTGCATTAATTATTGGTGATATGCATATTAAAGTAAGCTATACAGTACTATTGATAATTGTAGAGAGTTGTTCCTCTGCGCCATGTTGTGTTGCTGTTAGCCATTACTCTAATTTAATTAGACTTTGTCTTACACCTGGTTATCAGGCTACAGAGCAGCATACCTCCATCTGGTGGCCTTGTTATGTATATCTTCATATAAGCAGTTACTGTATCCTTTGTATGTTAGATATACAGTATACTGCTGTATCATAAAATATTAAAAGTTCACTGAAGGCGGTTAGGGCCTTCTGTCAGTATGATGGGCTAGCATTTTCCCCAGTTACTTTCAGTTGTCTATTTTAACCCCGGTATTTGTCATTTGTGTGTATTTGTCATTTCATGATTCATAGACCTAATCAGAGCTAACAAGTGTTTTGTTTCTACTAATTCATCTGCTTTTCGTGGTTCATAGAACTAATCAGAAGTCACGAGTGTTTCCTTACTACCAAGTGGTACGTGCATTATGTAAGAGAGACACAATTTTTAGGTTATATGTATTACTGCAACCTCAGTTATCGGGAGCATAAGTGTACGCAAGGTTCAAACTGTACTGAGCAGACAGTTACGGAACCAACAATACCACTATTGACATGTGTTACAGATTCAAAGCACCAAGCTTAGACAAGCTTGACACATCCAAGTCATAGATTGCACGGTTCGAAGCTAAGACAACTTGACACGTCTCTTAAAAGTCATAGGTGGGTAGACCGTAGTTGATTTAAAGACTACGGAGGGTGGGGGCTTTCAACTAGACTGGGTATCTCATACAAACGTATATATTTACCCCCTTCCTGCTGTTCTATTGGTTACCATCTTGGTTTAGGCCTCCCTCCCTAGCAGGAAACTCAGACTACCGCGGGGCAGTTCCAAGTATACACTTGACCAACAGGTATGTTGCTTCCGCGCAAGTACTCATGGTTAAAAAAGTTATTGGGAACCGATCATAAATGATAGCATAATGGCAATCTAGGTAGGTTTCCCAGGCACTCTCTGCCGTAGAGATAGTGGTCCCTCGAGGCCAACACTCACCCTCCACGCAAGAGGTAATATGCCCCACATGCCAAAGCATAGCTAGCCATCTCGCTTGTTGCATTGAAAGGGCCTCACTCATCACACCCTCAACCCAGTCGAAAACTCGTGTACCTAGAAGCCAACAACCCACAAGATACCCCTTGCGCCAATCATAGGTAGAGCCTCTTGGCAACTAGTAGGGACTCACTTGTCACCAAACTAGTGAATTATTTTGCCTCTTGGCACTAGCTAGCATACCATATACATCCTCAGTCCTAAGCACATGCCTCCTATATATCTTCAGTATGTCCCAGGTGCCAGACGAAGGAGATGATATCTCAATCCCCAGTACTCCAGCCAGGACCGCTATCCCCACACGCAAGGGTGACACCGGTAGTCCATCATCCATAAGATCATGGACTATCCCCCTCATCACAGCCGAACTACGTAAGCGCAGCATCCCTTTCCCAGCTATGGCCAGGAAAGCTGAACTGTTTAGACTGATGCAAACCAATACCGAGAATATAGACGGTGGCGAAGGTACGAGTGGAACAAGCAACGCCAACCTTCATACTATGATTGCTTCACTAGTGTCCCCATGGTACAAATTAATGATAGGCTGGAGATACTGGAAGCTTGTAGCCGAGATTGTGGGCTCCTCTCAGTCTCGACCCGGTAATATTACACTCACCAGTTCTGGGTCTCAAGTCAGTAACCTGGCCATATGGTACCAGCGAATCTTAAAAAGACATCCTGGAGGGCAAAGATGTTAATCTCTTCTCTCTGCTGGTTTGCCTCCCGGGATGTCGTAGAGAATCGCTCCTACTCATACGGCGACATCTCAGTGGTCCTGAAGGCTAGAGACCCGAGACTCAGCAAAAAACTATCTATCCCTGACTTTGTGATTGCTTCTAGGATTTACAGGAATGTGCTGTGTTTGGTGTACCCACAAGAGAGGAGCTAGACCTTTATATGCACAAGCTGGTGGATCGGGTCAACAAATACGGTGGTTTGTCTTTTTACGACTATCACCGTTTATGTGCAACAGAGTCATCAGCAGCTCTGGCTCAGTACAATGTAAGGATGGATTGGAGCCAAATGGATAAGAACCCCAGCTTGTGCAATATTTACAGTGATCACACATGTGGTAAACCTCTGCCCGGTTACACTGGACACTACCCCAGCTGCTGCCATCCGAGGCACCTCAAGGGCAGATAAGCAAGGCAGGGATAAACTTGGTCATCCAATTGTGTATCTAGGCAAGTCCCAAATTTGTAACAACTTTAATGTGGGTGTTTGTGTTTATAGTGCATGTCGTCTTTTGCATGTATGCTCTCATTCTGCAGGGCACACTCAAAACCATGTGCCGGAATAAAATGCATATAAAACCTTACCTGACATCAGTAAATATTGACGCTCTGGCAGAGCTACTGTCCACTCACCCATCTAAGCATCTGGTGGAGTATTTAATCACAGGGTTTTCCCAAGGGTTCCACACTGGTCTTATCTACATACCAAGACGGACCTGGGAGTCTAACAATCTACAGTCGGCCTTGGCTAACACAGACGCAGTAGAGGCCTTGCTATTGATCGAGCAAGAACAAGGGTTTGTACTACGACCATTCACAGAGATTGATGATAGATCTCTCTGCGCCACATTCTTCGGTAGTTCCTAGTCTTAATTCTCTTATCCCCTCTGAAGAATTCTCACTACAGTACGCTATCATCGACGACGCTATAATTACTATCATACCTGCGGGCATAGGCGTCTGGCTTAACAAGACGGATATTGTGAATGCATTCTAGTTACTACCCATTCACCCATCATTATGGCACCAGCATGGCATTAAATGGAAGGGTCTATACTATTTTTATGAGGCTCACTTTCGGCTCAAGAGTAGCCCAAAGGTTTTTCGACACTTTTGCGGAGACCTTATGTTGGCTGCTCTTAAATACAAGCAGGTGCCATAGCGTCATCCATTACCTGGATGATTTTCTGTTCATAGAAAATAATGCATCCCACCCATGCAGTCTAAACAAGGCGGTACTATTATTTGACTCACTAGGTGTATTAGTGTCTTCTAAAAAGACAGAAGGACCAGACACCATATACATTTTCTGGGAATACAACTTGACTCTGTAGCCATGGAAGCCAGCCTACCGCAGGACAAAAAGCAACAGTATCCAACACAACATAGACCTGTACTTACAAACAGGATCATGTAACAGGAAGGAACTGCAGTCACTGATTGGCTCATTAATTTTGCCATGCGTATAATACCACAAGGTAGAGCTTTCATTTCAAGGCTATTGTGGCTCCTCCCCATATTCCCCGACGACTACAGCCGTATCTCCCTTAACCATCAGACAACTACAGATCTCCATATGTGGAACATGTTTCTCGCAAATTGGAACGGGAGAAGCATGTTCCTCCCTCAGGTATCCATAGACTCCCCCACCATTTGGACGGACGCAGCAGCATCCACTGGTTTTGCGGCCATTTTCGGGAACGAACGGCTCTGGGGTGGTTGGCCACATGAAGTACGACATATAGAGGGGTTCTACAAGAACTCCGCACTCTTCGAGGTTTACCCATAGTAGCCGCAGCGGTGACTTGGGGCCAGTTATGGGCAGGGAGACTGGTACGAGATTTTTCAGGTAACTTGGCAATCTGCCATCATAAACAAGGGCCAATCTTCCTCACTGATGATTATGAAGTTTATCAGGAGACTGACGTGGTTGGCAGCCTGTCACCAGTTTTATCTGGTATGCTACCATGTCCCAGGCATTTTAACACGGCTGCTGACCAGTTATCTTGTTTTTAATTTCAGGCTCGTTACCGCCCGGCCGCCTCAGTAGCTTGTTGTTTTTACATTCCGCAGTATGCATTTGAACGTCGTGTGTGCGAGTCGCAGCACTTTGTGTCTCTTATGCACATTGCGCCCAATTGCAGTATAAGCATTATATGTCTATAATTACATTGATAAGTAATTTTTCTAATTAATTCAATGATATTAATGCCATACCTGATTGTTTTTCAATGTTATAATGTTCAACTCCATAATGAGGCACAATGTTCCTCTCAGGCACAATGATGCTATTTTTGTTATTTCTTTGTAGTTTCGGCAATAAAAATGGACAACTCAAAGAGAATTTTCCATTTCAATAATCCAAATGATGTAGTTGATATGATGAAAATGCTAGAGGATGAATCAGACGATGAAAATATTTTTGAAGATTCAGATTAAAGCGACGATAGCGTGACTGAAGATAACATGGAAGCAGGCATTGAGAGTTCTGAATCAGAACAAAACAATGAAGAATTCAGCGATGACGACAGCACAGATAACGCTTAATATTTTCTCGGAAAAGACAAGTCCAGTAAATGGTATCCAAATATTGCCAACAAGAAAAATCGCACCACGCCTCATAATTTGTTGAAGCAGTTACCAGGTGTTATAGGCCCCGCAAAGTTATCGAAATCTCCAGTTGACTCTTGGAAATACTTATTCACTGGAGATATTCTGGATATCATTGTAAAATATACTAACCAATATATAAATATTATCAAAAATAAATATGGACGCTAACGAGACGCCAAACTTACTGATGACAGTGAAATAAAAGCATTCATAGGTATATTATATTTGGCTGGAGCTTATAGAGCCCTGGATTTAGGGGAAAAACTGAAAGAGATTAAACTTTCCTACGTTGGCACAGTAAAGAAAAACAAAAGAGAGCTGCATCTGAATTTGTCACAACGAAATCTAGGGAAGTGTATTCAAGTAGCTTTGGATTCAATCGCGGTACTACATTAGTATTATACGTACCGAAGAAGAACAAAACTGTTATCCTTGTGTCCAGCTTTCATCACGATAAATCTCTTGATTCAGAAACAGAGAAGAAAAGAAACCATCAATAATTACATTTTACAATTTCAAAAAGGGAGGAGTAGACAATGTTGACAAAATGTGTGCTACATTCAGCATTGCAAGGAATATAAAATGTTGGCCTATGAATATATTCTTCACCATGATGTATGTTGCTGGCATAAATTCGCAGATAATTTATCTGGGAAATGATTTGAAACCAATAAAGAGGCGTCTATTTCTGAAGCAGCTTTCTCACGAACTTACGTTAGATGAACTTCAAAGACGAAGTGAAAAAACAATCGACATTCCGCTGCATATTCAATCAAAACTGAAACGATTTCGTAATTGTGAAAATGTAGAAGAAGATAAAGAGGAAACTTTGGAAACACCTATCAAGAGGAGAAGATGCATTCCATGCACTACGGATAGCGGACGACGTCGCTTATCAAGATATGAGTGCAGCAAGTGTAAACGTGCATTATGTATGGAACATGCTACTTTTTATTGTAATAAATGCTCAGAAATTGCTTTCGGCAATGGTGTAGAGCAAATGGAATAATAAACATGTTTTTATTTGAGTAAACATTTTGTTTTTGTAAAAGTGGCCTATAACGGACCGTTTCAGCACACAAGGGGTTAAAACCATTTAGGCGATCGTCCCCTTTCAGAGATGCAGGCACAGCTACTGCAGAACACCAAACTCCCGAACAGGATACCAAGTAGCACTCCAAATTCCAGAACTGGAACCTCACGAATAGCTGCTAGCAGCTGAACAGGAAAAGCACCCAAGCAGCTTACACTCCTGGCAATCAGTCTCTAACAGCATACAGTAAATCCCCCCAAGAACGAGACAAAGCTCCGTGTTGAGGGTCAAGCAGTGAACAGACAGAGCTGTGGGTTTATTGTGCTTATGTACACATTCTTACACATTAGTACCACCCACAGGGGTTTGGAACACAACCAATAAAC